CTGGAAGGAATCCAGCAACCCCTACAGGGGAAAGGCATCAATGCAGACTTCATTGCCTGCCACAAGCGCTGTCTGTGACACCACCACCAACTCCACCGTGGTAATCAAGATCGACAACGGCGCCGAGGCCGGTTATGAGCTGGGGAAGGGAGAGGTAATAATTTAATAATAATAATTGCATACACTTGTATAGTGTTTTTCTGGACACTCAGAGCTCTTTACAGGTCATGGGGATCCTCTCCACCCCCACCAGTGTGCAGCCCCACCTGGATGATGCTCCAGTCCTCTCACACACACCAGCTCTCAGTGGGGAGGAGAGCAGAGTGATGAAGCCGATTCAAGATCTCACCTTCAACAGCAGGCAGCATCCGAAAGCTCTGTACTTCAGCACAGGACTGCACTTAAGTACTGCCATTCAAGAAGGATAAAAGGCCTGTAGAGCCCCTCAAAGCAAAATGAAAAAATAAATCGTCTGTCTTTAATTTTAAAATCTCCAGAACCCACCAGTGTCAGTCCTAATCCCCCACGCCCCCCGAACACCAGCCTCTGTCTCATCCCTAACCATTCACACTGGCTCCTCCTCCTCCGAGCAGCAGCTCCTGCAGTCTGTGTGGTCGTGTTGCTCTGACTTTCTCCTCGATCGCCTGTGCGGATGCAGATGGCTGCTGTAGCGTCACGCAGCAGAACTGGATTAGTGGAGCAATCAGACCAGAACTGCTGTGGTAAGAAAAGAAAAGGAAGGGGTCTTTGGGGTGGCGGGGGGGGTGTCGGCCCTGCGCACGCAGGTGTGAGGACATCAGTGAGCACAGCCTCTCCTCTCACAGCCCATAACCCCCCTCCCCTCACCGTTTCCATGGAAACCAGCAGGCCCGTGCAGGACATTCAGCCATGAAAACCACATCTGACACTGAAATGCGCACTAACATTACAGCGCGCACACGCACGCCAAACACACTGCCAGCCTGCAGCGCACACCCCACACAGAGCGCGCTGTCTCAGCCTCACACACTGGCCCTGAGAACGGTTAGACTGCGCCAGACAGACAGGATCTGCACCTGCAGGGCTTGGAGCAGAGTCACAGGCTGAAAACTGTTGCAGCTCTGTCTCTCTCACTCCCCCTGCACTCTCTCACTCCCCCTACACTCTCACTCCCCCTGCACTCCCTCACTCCCCCTGCACTCTCACTGCACTCTCTCACTGCACTCTCTCACTCCCCCTACACTCCCTCACTCCCCCTGC